GGCGGCCCGGATGGATGTGCCCCCGGGCCTTCCTCTGCAGCCTCCTCTTAGCCCACCACCTCGGCGTCTGCGAGAAGCCAGCAGGTTCCAGCCTTGTGAGGAGCTCTGAGTCATTGTCTGTGCTTTTTTTGTTCTACTGAAATTGTTTCCGCGCTGAAAGCACTGAGTAAGGTTTAGGAAGGTGTAAGGTTGGAGGCATATGTCATCTGAGACATAGGAAGGTGTTTGCCAAAACCATGGCTGATGTGGAATGTAGCTGCAACAGAAATTGTTCCACAAATTAAAATTATGTGTGGTGGAATTTCTTAAGTGAATGTTTCAAGCAGAATGAGGCACTGCAGTGTTCAAATGCAAAAGCAAAATTATCTTGAATTTTTACATCTCCGCATTAGGAATGATACTAAGGACGGGATTTAAAGATTTGGGGTTTTGAGTGAGGTTTTTTAATACAACTATCTAGCAGAATTTAAAAATGAAATGGCACAGGAACACAGTATCTGAGGGCAAGGACATCTAAGGAACATGCGAGTGTTTTGTAAATTTTATTCACTTCTTAACTGACAGCCTACTGTGAGTCAGTATTAAACTAACATCTCAAAAGAGTTCTACAAAGCACTTCTAGTCAAATTGTTGTCTGTGGAATAACACCTTCATAAAAGCAAAGCAGAAAACTAATAGGGTGTACTAAATGTTCTGGATGCTTGTCTTTAAATATTCTAGCCTTCTGTGTATCTTTATCTGTGGATGGGATGTTTGGGGTGTCTAGGTAGACTGCTGCAATACAGAAGAGTACTTGTCTGTATAATTATAATTTCAGTTATTCTTATACTTTTTGCTGTAGTTGCTTTACTATTTAATATAACTAATGTAACATGATTGTGCAAAGTAGTAGTAGTCATTAGAACAGGGACCTCTGCGCTTAACACTGAATGGAAACACTTTGTTGTTTCTGCCTGTGGAGGAAAGGATACTATGCAAATGAAACTCAAGTGCATTTAACCATTGAAAATGTTGTATTTAAATAAAATACTTATTTTGTTTCTCAGTGATATTTTTTCTCCTCCTTTTTTTTTTTTTCCCCAGTACCCCAAGTGTGACCATAAGATATGATTCTTTACCAACTGCACCAAACTTCTTAAGTACTTCTTTTGCCATTGGGTCACCTGGCTTCAACTACAATGGTAAGTTATGATTCAGATAATATATTTTTGGATCTTTTCACTCTAGTGTGCTAGTTGTTCAGCTGCTGAGAAGAATACCATTAATGTTTCTCATTTTATTAAAAAACAAATAAATTGCTTGTCACTCCTGAGTTCTAATATTTAGTTTTTCAGGGATGTCTTCCTTCATAGCTTGTAAATACTTGTAAACACTTAGTTACTGTCCAGTGCATCATAGGAATTCTCATATAAAGCTAGTGGTGTGTTTTCAGTCATGACTGGTGTTAAACAGTTGAATATGAAGTATAAATCCTCCCTGCACATAGTAATCTTCCAGTCACAGGTGACAGTATTGCCATGGATTTTTATCTGTTGTCAAACAGCCAGTGAATTGCATGTCTGAAGTCATGCAGTTATCCACTAGACTTACACAGAGAGCCACAAGTATTTAATCACAGAATCACAGAATGTTGGGGATTGGAAGGGACCTCAAAAGATCATCTAGTCCAATCCCTCTGCCAAAGCAGGAACCTAAATGAAATTAATTCATATTACATATGAATATGACATATTCATATAAACACCTAAACACTTCAAAATTAGAACCTGCTGTTGCAGTTACGTGAAGTTTCAGCTGCTAAGTTTAGTATGTGCCAAAGAATGTTTGAGCTTCATCTTCTAACTGTAAATTTGTATCAGTAGTAATAGAGTTTTTGTAGTCATTTTTATGTATAAGGATGTTTAAACAGTTAATGTACTTTCTAAAAAAACCTCTATAATTCTTGCAGCAACAAGCTTTAGAACTGGCATTGGATCGTGCAGAGGTAAGGACTTGCTACGTTATTTGTTTGCATCTAGAGTATTGGTCTCCCAGTTAAAAAATAACTATTGTATTTTTATATTTCTTCTGAAAAACAGTGGAATAAATATTTACAATTTTATGTAAATATTTGTGTGTGTGTGTGTGTATAAATAATCACCTATACAAGTAATGCTGGTTTTTCAAAATTCTCACTAAAATTGCAATGTCACATATTTGTCTCTTACCGATTGTACCGAGAACATCGTCAGGTGCAATGGTCATAGACTGTGCAGGACTTCAGTTTTCCCCTTTCTAACCAGCAAATCTGTGTGCTGTGAAATAAGCAGAGCTGTACACTGGTGATCCAGAGACAGCTGGCAGAAATATATGGCAAAAATCCTGTTTGTGTTTTTAAGGGTATCCCAGTTAGAACTAAGAGGCAAGCGCCTCCATATACATGTACTTTTATCTGATATAATGGTTACTTTGAACCCTGTTATGGGAAATAAATGTTTCTGTGGGAGAACCACAGAAATTCTGAACTAAGCTGTTAATCAAAATACTTCAGACAAACTATAAAGATTTGGAAAATCCTTGTTAGAATATAAGATGCATTTAATGTAGGATGATATCTACTTTTTAAATCAAAATATTTAATGTACATGAATTGTATTTAGACAGCTCCATAGGGAAAAGTAGTGTAAATGCAAGAAACCGGGGAAAGCTAAACTTCCTGAAGTTGGTTATGTTGAGGAGTACTGGATTTATAAATATTGTCCAGCCAGTACATGTGAATGTGATTGGATCTTATGTTAAGAATGTCATACTTATCTTATGAAGTATATTAACTTCAGTGTGTTGCCATGTTAACTTGGCGTGTAGTAGCATTAACTACTACAGTAGTCATCTAAGTACAGTAGTGTTAACTACTACAGTCATGTTATTTACTACTGTAATTACAAAACATGAATGTAAAATCAAGCCATAGCCATGAAATCTTGTGTTTCAGTTAAACTGAGATGGGTCCTTTTTGATGACTGTAATATACACCAGATCATGTTTAGTGCCCTTTTGAAACAGTCATGAACCATAACTGTTAATTACTTTCTGTATCCATAGAACGCTGTCTGGTAATGATCTAAAGTTGCATGGTAGGTAGAATTAAATTTCTTTGTAATAGATGTGTTATTTTTTTTCTTTACTTTTCTCTTCTAGTATATAATTGAAAGTGCCCGTCAGAGACCTCCCAAAAGAAAATATTTGTCCAGTGGAAGGTAGTAAGAGTTTCAGTATTTAGCTTTTAAATAGAATTTCTTTGATTTAATTTTGGTTACATTTTAAGCTTTTTTTTTTTAATTTCAGAAAATCTGTATTTCAAAAACTCTATGATTTATATATAGAAGAATGTGAAAAAGAGCCTGAGATAAAGGTAAGTGGAAATTGCTGAGAAGCTTTTAATTGCTATCTGAACAGGCAAGTTATAAATTTTTTTTTTATTTATTTCACTTAGTTCCTCTGTTAAAAAAAGAAGAAATTTTGGTTGTAGTAGTTACCTAAGGCGAACACTACAGGAGAAATTATTATTATGACTTTTGTGGACTAAACTGTGTAGTTTAATAGCATCATCTTAGTTCAGTTTGAAATAAAAACAAGGAGATGGTACAGCCAATAGCTACCTGGTAACCCTAAATCTGTTTTTAAAGGTAACAAGGTAGAACGCTGTCAGAGGATTGTGAAGATTGTGCTTTTGAGATGCTTTTCTGTATAGGAAAAGAGAGAATTTCAAAAGAATGGTCTAGAACGCAGAGGTGTATCTAACAAGTTTATTAGATAACAGTTCTGTTAAAACAGCTGAGTGCTATAATAGGAATAGTGAGTTCTAGACTGACCCGAGTGACTTGTTCATTCTGACTTCATCCTGTGTCACTGCGGTCAGTCGTGGCCAGGTTCAGGGCCGGTGTCAATGCCACACGCGTTGTTGTCAGCGTCACTGTTTCAGAATCAATTGCTTAGCATGACTGCCATGGGAAAAATGCAGAGAATTCAGATTTATTTCTTTGATAACTGATGAACTGCCAAGATGTTCTGTGAATTTTTTTCATAATGTTTACAAAGAAACTCAAACAGGCTTCTTAGCAACAAAAATCCAAGGTATAAAAGGCACAAGCTGCTTTGCTAAACTGTGAATATCAAATGGCGTGAGTAGAACAAGTGTGGAATCTGCTGTACTGCTGCTTCCCAAGGAAGGAAAAGCCTATGAGAAGACAAATAGGAATGAGATATTCATTATTGAGCACCTCTAATTCTTTTTGGTGATTCTGATGTACCAGTATTCTTTATTCAGTGGTAGGCATCAGAAGTCACTGGGAGCAAAAGGAGGCACCTGTGCCTTCTCTGTGCTGCTTCCCAGCCATCACGCAGTCGTGGCGTGCGTGTGCAGGTGGGAGGAGTTCAGCTTTTCTCTGAATAAAGTCAGAGAGGGTTAGGAGTTTTAGCTGATGTAACAGAGCAGTATAACTGGCCTGGTTGCTTGGTGTCTGAACTGTTGCAACATACTGTGATGAATGCTTAAGAAATATAATACACTTCAGGCCATTGGTTGATCTTTAAGATCTTTCTAGACAAGACCTGAGCTTACGCTGATGCTCAGTATCAGCTCTGAGCTTGTATCTCTAATAGCCAGCTCAAAGGAGAAAGCTGGTTTTCATGCTCAGTGAAATGTAACTTCACCTGCTTGTTGAAATGTTTGTACTTAAAAAGCTAATTTACTCCAAGTCTAAGAGAGGCTTTATATTTTAAAATGTGCTTAGAATGTCTGAAGAAGTTCAGGTCATATGAATGCAGTGTCAAAAATGTTCTTAGGCCTATGTTATTGTCCTCTTCTTTACCTGTCTTCCTCCTTAAGCATCCTAACTCACCAAAAAATGAAGCAAAGGAAAAAAACAACAACAACAAAAAAAAAACAAGCCATAACTGGCCAACTATTATTGAACAGAACCTAAAAATTAAAAAATAAAAGTAACATGTCATTCACCACATAGATTTAACTTAGAGAGTGATGTAATTATCTCAATTTAGTTACGCTTGCAATTGAATTACTGCTATATATTTTAGCTATAAGGTGTTTAAGGAACAGAGACCTTCCATAAAATCAGAACTTTTAACTATTTCTTACTTGCATAGACAAATTTCTGTGGGGAAAAAAGGATTAATTATTTATAAATTCTGAGTGGTTACTAGTTAGTGTAAATTACTCAGTACCTGTATTTTGGATGGAATAATGCCCTTAACTGAATCATCCTTTTTCTTCAGGTCATGAAAATAGTAAAGTTGAATTAGAAACATTAACAGTATTATTAGTAACAGCTTCTAGAAGCAGAATTAATTCTGTCCCAATGGTAGAGGAATGGAATTGTTTTTATTTTTTTATTGCTTTCTTTTTTATTTTAAAATATAACTTTAATATAAATAATTAATTTCTTAACCTCTCTTACATAACCTGATGATCCTTTTTAAAATCAGTTCTTACAGAATTCTCATATCCCTTTCTGTCCTTCTGATGCCATTGCCTAACTAAATATGAAAGTATTAATCTATTCAACACTGGAACAAAACTTTTCCATCGGAAGTTGACAATATCTCAGTTCTTAGGAGAAAAGATGTAAGAGTAGTTGAGCGTTGACTTCGCTCTCCAATGGCAGTTACTGTACCCCAGACAACTTCATGCTGTGTCTAAGTGAAAGCCCAATAGCTACATCCCCTACTCACAATGTGTCTGAAAATTGATGCAGCGCATGTACAGTCTCTTGTTCTGGGGTAGGTGTGGGGAGTGGTTAGTAGGAGTTTCAGCTGAAAAAGGCTTTGCTGACAGGCTACATCGCCCGAGTCCTGTGTGAAATATTGGCTTTCCTGAGTATTCACTACCTTTACTGTTGCCTTGACATGTTTTCCCCTGTTCTCCACTGCTCCTCCTGTTCTTTCTCCATTAATTCTCCAGGATTTATGTGCTACTTTGTCCTTTTCTTGGTGTTAGTTTCCACAAATTCTAAACTGTAAAAGGCAGTAGGATGTAGTCACCATCATTCGTGACATATGGGGAAGAGTTAACCTTGGGCAGTGGTTCCAGAACTACATAGGACACGATGAAAAAGGTTTTTCCCCTTTTTCTCAGCATACTTGTTAACATGATCTGTTGGATTAGATTGCTCTGGGAATTGGGGGTTTGTTTTCATTACTTTTCCCTTAGGAATGATTTCCCTATAAGTAATGATTCTGCTTTCTATCTTCCCAATATCTCTGGAAAGATAAATTTGTTCAAAAAGAGATAAAAGAGAGAGCCCGCTACCGCTTTGTTGGGTGAAATGAGTAGCTGGGCGGTCTGAGTGCTGGGGTTAACTTCCAGTGAATGCTTTACCCAGACCTGGTATTTGGCTACAAAATCTACCCTCCAACCTGAAGGTGTAAAACGTTGAGGTTTAGAATTCATTGTTTTAAGTTCTCAGGGGGCTTTTAAAATGGTTTAAATTTGTAGGATGTACACGGGGTCTTTGAAACATACTAATTAATTTTAAAAAATCTGTTGTGTGTGGAAAAAGTCCTTCTTGCAATTAAAGAAGGGAATAGTCTCTGCAGCTGCTGGATCAGATTTCAGCAAATACAGACAAGGCAATGCAATTAAGAAAGCTTCCAAATGCTGTAATTCAATACTTTAATCCTGGAAAGAAATACCTGCTTCTGTTAGGACTGTTTGAAAGTACTGAATATTTTGTTCTTGTTGTCAAATAATGTATAGTGTATAAATGATACAAATAATAGTGCACTGTAGATTTACAACATAGTAGCATGGGCTCATTCTTGTTGTTAACTGTGTTGTCTGTGGACTTAAAATTCAAGGATTTTTATAATTTAAACAAGTGGAGTTTATTTTTTAAAAAATCTGTGTGTGTAAGTATGTATCATGCATAATGAATATGTTCAGCTGAATACAGTCCAGTTAAATTTAACTGGGCTCATCTAACTATATACTTCAACATTAATCTAAGTAGTACTTGTATTCTAGCAATTGTTTTTATTGCTACTAATTACTTGATAGTATTATGTTCATAAGCATTGTTTACTTTTAAAGCAGAAGCTGAGGCGAAATGTGAATTTACTTGAGAAGCTGGTTATGCAGGAGACGTTGTCATGTCTGGTAGTGAACCTCTATCCAGGAAATGAGGGTTATTCGCTTATGCTCAGGGGAAAAAATGGTTCAGGTAATATTTTTGATGTTTATTTTTAAAAATATTCAGAATGCTCTATAAATAATTAGAATGTGTTATTGCTTACATTTAACTGTTTCACTTCTAACATAATCCCTTAAATGTGCATAAAGCTGTGAGGTGCTCAGAAACAGTCTCTAATGGTGCACTGTAAATCAGTAGATATGAGTCTTTTTGATAGCCTGCCATTCTTTTCTGTCCCCTCAGCTTCCTGAGTTGCTTATCTGAGTTTCTCTCACTTCAGGCTCCTTCTGTCAAATTGTTTCTTTCACAGCAAAAATTTCGTCCCATTGAGCTATTAAGACATGTTGCCTTTTGGCACAATAAGAGCAAAATCAAGCTCTGAGAACAGAAATTGATGTAAAAAATTAAGACTTTGCAAAAAAAATTGCCTGTTTCCCCCTGTCCTGCTTTTTCCTGTGGCAAGCTTGTTTTTGATTTCACATTGTTAAAGTTTCAACTTGATCAGCAAAAGAAAACCAATGTGTTTTGTTTAAATTCAGATTCCGAGACCATTCGGCTGCCTTATGAGGAAGGAGAGCTGCTTGAATATTTGGATGCAGAGGAGCTACCACCTATTTTGGTTGATCTTTTAGAAAAATCTCAGGTTTGAAAGTTTTGTTTTCAAAAGTAACTTGTGTTTTGTGCTCAGATAGACCTTGATTTTTTGAATGCTTCACATAGGTGATTCCAGCTACAAGACATAAGACATTTGTGCGTTTGGAAGTGTAATATTTAATGCCCCAAATAAATATTTAATTGATAGATAGGGGAAAAAATATTGGGAAGAAAGAGATAAAAGAGAGATTGCTATGGTTAAGGATGCCAAACAACTTCAACTCTGTGCTCTAGCAAAATATCCTTTGTTCTTTGTCATTATGAAATATTTGACATGGGAATTTCTTGAAACTACATTACTGGCATATGAAAACACTACATTTGAAACTTGTATTTTAGGTATGTCTAGGTACATAGTAAAGACTGACAAAATCAGTGATTAATTAGTTTTGTTCATAGTCTCACTGAGTATTTGTCCAGTTCTGGGCCCCACAGTTCAAGAAGGACAGGGAATTGCTGGAGAGAGTCCAGCACAGAGCCACCAAGATGATGAAGGGAGTGGAGCATCTCCCTTATGAGGAAAGGCTGAGGAAGCTGGGGCTCTTTAGCTTGGAGAAGAGGAGACTGAGGGGAGACCTAATTAATGTTTATAAATATGTTAAGGGCAAATGTCATGAGGATGGAGCCAGGCTCTTCTCAGTGATGCCCAATGATAGGACAAGGGGCAATGGGTGTGAGCTGGAACACAGGAGGTTCCGCTTAAACTTGAGAAAAAACTTCTTTACAGTGAGGGTGGCAGAGCACTGGAACAGGCTGCCCAGGGAGGTTGTGGAGTCTCCTTCTCTGGAGACATTCAAGACCCGCCTGGACGCCTTCCTGTGTAATTTCATTTACGTTCCTGCTCTGTCAGGGGGATTGGACTAGATGATCTTTTGAGGTCCCTTCCAATCCCCAACATTCTGTGATTCTGTGATATGTAACAAACTTCATTTTGGAGGCAGAGGGTGAGGCGGGTTGGTAAATACTTGTTTTTTTACGAAGGGTTTTGTTTCCACTAGGTTAATATTTTTCATTGTGGATGTGTCATAGCAGAAATACGTGACTATAGGCAGTCTGGTAACATGAAATCTCCAACATACCAAAGCAAGCACATTCTTTTGCGTCCTACAATGCAGGTAAGAAGTGTTTTAAATCATTCCTCACTGTTGTGGCAGTTCTTAGACTGGATATGAACTGTTACTGAATGTATGTTAAGAAATCTTAATATTTAGTTGAAAGCTAATTACCATTATGTCTTCTTTCTCAGACTTTAATTTGTGATGTGCATTCTATAACAAGTGACAACCACAAATGGACGCAGGTGGGTTAGCAGTTAACTTTCCAGTGATGTGGTAAATAGATAATAAAATAAATTTATTTAAATTGTTAATTTATTTGTTTAATAAAATTTTATAAATAAAACTCATTGATTTTGATTAATTCACACTGTCAGTGATGTGCACAGGGCTACATGGGACAAACTCCAGAGAGCTGCCAAATTAACTTGTTAATAGCATCTTCCCACAAGATGCCTTAGAATACAATAGGATTTGCTAAAAGCTTTGAGAATCGGACCTTAATTTTTGATAACTGAGAATGATGGTATTGGAGTTACCCTGACTAGTTTACCTTACTTCATTCATCTCCAGCATATATCCCCAGAACAGCAGTTTCAGTCTAATAACACAATTGGTCCTCTAGCATCATTTTGCTATTAATATATTTACAGTAAATAGAATCCTAAATAACTCTGGTTGTACACTTACAGTTAGTTAAATACTGAATAGCATGGTGTACTCAATGTGCTCATGTTTATTTCAAAGCCACAATCCTGCTCAAATCCATTTCAAATTGTAATCTAATGTCTTGGGTAGATCATCTTTATAGCACTGATTGCCAGACCATCAATATAAATCACTGTCAGAAAATGGATTTCGTTGCCACTAGTACTGTGTTTAAAACAAACAAAGAAAATGCAAACAAAACCCCAGAACACACCCTCTGCTTTTCAGAAGGATTTATTTTCCTGTTGGAAACCCCACCCAAAATGTTGTAACTCATCATAATGGTTAGTAATACTTAACTGTTGAATATTTTTATCGTTGATTGTCCACAAACAATTTTTTCAGTTTTCTTTAAAGATAATGTGCACATATGCATAGGTATCTATCAACTTAGTGTAAAAGTCTTCATGTTTTTGTATTTACTAATAGCTGTGTATATTACAGGAGGACAAACTCTTGCTTGAGAGCCAACTTATTTTGGCTACAGCAGAGCCTTTGTGTCTTGATCCTTCAATAGCAGTGACCTGTACTACAAACAGACTCCTGTACAACAAGCAGAAGATGAATACTCGTCCCATGAAACGGTAGTTTTCAGTGTGAAGTGTGTTGAAATCTTAAATGTTTCAAAGAAAAATATAAGCAATGCTTTATGTGAAAATTTTGCTTCTCATATGCAACACTCAAAGTAATATCTACTTAAATATTAAGAATATGAGGAACAGTCAAGAAATTATATCTTATTTTTAAGTGCTCAATATTCTACTGCATTTCAATTAGTGGTAGATACTGTAATATGCTTATTTTTGTATATCAGAGGAATGTTTATATTTTTTTCTTAACTTGTTATATTGCAGTTTTGATTTGGGGTTTTTTGCATAGTTCAGATGCAAGCTGAGTCAGATGGCAGCTCAGTAATGTAAAATATATAAATGTATGTCTTGCATATTGTTCTCTGATTTGTTAAAAGCTGTGTACAAGTTTAACCCTGAATGACCAAATCAAATGAATTATTTATATGCTTGACGTTTAGGCTACACAGAAGTGTAGGCTTCTTAGAATCTTGGAAAACTTAAAAGTAATGTGGAATACACTACATACAAAACATAGAAATCGTTTCACTTTTCTATATGGTGGTTCACTTTTTTCCAACAAAAGCTTGAAATGGTTCACATTTGTTCTACTAAGAGTTACGTTCACTGTCTAGAATGAAAATGTACTAATGGTCTGTCAGAACTACTGAAATATTTGAAACTAGATTTGCATTGAATACTATGCTAATGTACAACCAGTAGCAGTGTCTAAAAAAAGTATAAATAGTGAAATTGATCAAGCTGTCCTTGATATTAGAGCTTGGTGGTCAGCAAACTTTCCACTAGAAAAGTAGGCAAAGGTGTTAAATGAGAGTCCAGAACACCATTAATGTACCAATGAATTTGGCATCAGACAAAGAATGGAGGGTAGTTACTGTGTTTATAACCTTATAGTTACATAAGCAGTACACAGATCATTTGACAGAATTGAAAGCTATAATAATGTACAAATACTTTAAGCTTGGCAACTTTTCTGTTAGTTACTCATTTTGACAACGTACTTGGATTATGCATTTCAGAAGTAACTGTGTTCTTAGTGCTGAAACACATTAACAGAATACTAATATTTTTTGAAAATATGAAATCAAGCGTTTGAGTTGTACAGTGTAATCAAGAATAGCAATTTTAAATTCATATTTCAAAAGCTGTCTTTTAGTCTCAATGCAAGTAGCGTTCCCCTGCGTATTTTTGTGTTTGTACACAGGCAGTGGAGAATTTCACTTTGATAGTTTTACAAACTTATCTGTCATTTTACCATAGGTGCTTCAAAAGGTACACAAGGTCATCTCTGAACAGACAGCAGGAAGTAGCTCACTATTCAACTCCACCTCAGCTCAGACTGCTTGACTACTTACAGAAGAGAAAGGAGAGGAAAGGAGCCCAGCAGTATGACCTCAAAATTTCTAAAGCTGGAAATGTAAGTGTTCTGAGACATAGGTGGCAATGCATCTAACTATTTATTTATTTTAAACATTTAATATATTAATACTGCTTTTTCATCTTCCAGTGCGTAGATATGTGGAAACAGAACCCTTGCTACTTGACTGCACCTTCTGAAGTGGATGTAAGTCCAGTTGCTACCATTAGGAATTACCAGCAGTTGTATTGAATCTTGTATTATATGAAGAAGTGACTAAAGTGTATCCAGTATCAAAGAATGACCTTTAAAAGTGGGAGTAACTTTTAACATTATAATTATTTGTCTGTGCTGTAAGGTACAAACACAGGGTAAACTACATTGCAATACACTGCAATTGTAACTTGATAGTTTGGATGAGATAAACAGTGCAAATAGACCTTTCATATTTTTCATCTGTGGATTCAGTGAGCACATGTCTATTTGAAGTTATCTGATAATAAAAAAATAGAAAAAGAAGTGAGGTAAAGAAATTATTTAAAAATTAGTCACTTCTCAGCTTGATAGAAATTCCTGTTTTTTGACATTTTGATACTATGGGACATAATATTTTCAATAGTTTAATTGTTTATACAGGTAATTCTAGTAGGGAATGCTTGTGTGCTTTCTCCTCTGAGACATTCACATTCTCGGTTCCTGGCACTGCCAAAACACGTGCTACTAGTATACAGAAGGGACTCAAGTAGACTAGACAAGACTGTAGCTTTGGACTTCATAGTGCTGGCAAGAGTGCACATGACACAAGAAATGATGCTGCAAGTTTGTACAAACCTTCTCTCCCTTTGTACATCAACAGCGTTGTACTTGACCTAGTCAGAGTCTTTAGGAATTACTGGTATTGTGAAAGTTCTTAACCATTCCACACTGCAGGCAGTGATTTCAATCTAGCCTTAAGCTACGTTTCATGTTTTTGTTAAACTTAACAGAAGCAAATACGATGTAACAGAATTGAGTGTAAAGTTCCAAAGGTTCTCCAATTTACTGTTTCTGAATGCTTAACATAAAGGGGAGATGCTGTACAAATATCAAGCTATCTTTGTACATTTCTTGCACTCACTTTTTAAGATTATCATGTTAGCCACTGCTAAAAACAAGATGATGTGCTGGATTGTCTTTAGCTCTGGCCCAATATGACTATTGTTCTTTCTTTTCTGATATCTCTGTTTTATTTAAGGTGGAAAAATATGCCAAAGTGGAAAAGTCTATCAAGCCTGATGACTCGCAACCAACTGTCTGGCCAGCCCATGTGAGTATTTTAGACCTGTGGCCAAACTTCTCTGCCTCTATTGAAAATGCCTCTTATTTCAACAAAATCTAACTAATGCAGAAATAGTTTTCCCTCCCCTAATTTAATTCATCTTCCATGTGTTATATAGACACAGAAGGATTACCACAGGTACTTGTAATTCATACAGTCCAGCATGCATGTGCTCAGTCTTGTGATTTCCTCAGGTTTTCCAGAAACAGAAGGAAGATCTCACAGGTAACGTGCTGTTGCCTTGTAGTAAAGAAAGCATAATAAGTTTCAGAGAGCAGTACTCTGCTCGATTAATTGCTTTCTTCACTCAGTACTCAAAGATTGATGGAAAAGAGCCTCTGTTAAAATCAACATGTTAAATTTGGAAATAGATTAAGTAATAGTAAATACCTCTTACAAAAAGTTCTTTCTGCAATGTTTAAGTTGAACCTTAAGATTTTTGGCATAAATTACAGTTTGATAAGTAGTCATCATTTAATATAATTAGCCATAAATCGATTCATAATACCTTGCTTCCAAAATTACAAAGAATTCATCATCAATGTTTTTACTCAGAACATTTTTTTTGCTTTGTCATAATTTATATAAAACTTCCTATATATGTTTAACCAGTCTGCCTTTCCATATCTAACATGATTAGGGTCTGTGATATTTTTGTATTTTTAAGAGATGATAAACTCTTTCCTTTCATCCCTTTAGGTTACTTCTTCTCAAATCACTTTCATTTTAGATAATGCACCCCTTCTTGTAGAGTGTTTCTTACTATATTTTATAGAACTGGCATATTTTACTAGCTCTTTCTGTTATCTCTTGTTTAAGACTGATTTTGTTGTTTTCTTCTGTCTTTTTAGGAAATCAAAGATGATTATGTGTTTGAATGTGAAGTTGGTAATCAGCTTCAAAAAACTAAACTGACCATTTTTCAATCTCTTGGCAATCCCTTGTACTATGGTAAAATTCAGACACTCAAAGGTGATGAGGAAAATGACAATGTATTAACTCCATCACAGTAAGTTATATGTTCTTTTATACCCTGCTATGATCTGATAGATGAAGAAAGACTAACATTACTTACATTTTTCAGCTAGAAAAATGCTCTAGAGCTAGAAATCTGATTTAAGGGGTTTGTTGGAAAAATTCAGCTAATGAACCTAAAAATTTTAAATAGAAAAAGCCAAAACAAAATGCGTTCAAGCAACCATCATATCTCAAATGTACTTTTATGTTAAATCTGCATGTTCTTTTATATTAAAGATATGTTGAAAAAAAGAAAAAAACCCACAGCAAAAAACCTGCCACCAAAGCAAACCAACAACTCAAATTGTGGAGGCACAGTGAGATATTGTTAGCACTCTTTCAGTATTACTCATAATTTTGATTCTTGTCAAAATTTGCCTGATGCTGTGAAAACGTAAGACTTCATTATGTTATGCTTACACTTATGTGAAGAAATTTAGGCTAAATAAATTATGAAGAAAAACGTGAACTTCTAAGAAGCTTTGTCATTTTGAATCTGCTGCTATTGGCTGTGGTTCTACAAAGATTCTCTATTCTTGGCTCTTTGTTGTGTACACCAGATTCTTTGTATGGAGGAACCCATGCAACAGAATAGACCCTATGAATTTCAGTAAGGCAAGGAGCAGTGAGCCTGAGCAAATTTTAGTTCTGTTAATGAAAGTTATTTTTATTTTCTCGTATGTCATTCCTATCTTATTTTTGATTAAAATCTTAAAATCTTCTTAATATTCAGGATTTTTTATTCCTGGACTGAGCTATTTACTGTTTGATTCCATACTGTCATGATTTAACCCCAGCTGGCAACTAAGTACCACACAGCCACTCACTTATTCTCCCCATCCCACCAGGCTGGGGGAAAGAATCTGAAGCGTAAAGTGAGAAAACTCATGGGTTTTCTCATTTATAGAGACAATTTAATAGGTAAAGCAAAACAAGGAATTCATTCACTACTTCCCCTTGACATGCAGGTGTTGAGCCATCCCCAGGAAAGCAGGGCTCCATCACACATAACAGTTACTTGCGAAGACAAACACCACTCTGAATGTCCCTCTTTCCTCCTTCTTCCCACAGCTTTATATGCTGAGCGTGACATCATGTGGTCTGGAATATCCCTTTGGTCAGTTGGGGGCAGCTGTCCCAGCTGTGTCCCCTCCTGGTATCTTGTGCACCCCCAGCCCACTTGCTGGTGGGGTGAAAAGCAGAAAAGACCTTGACTCTGTGTAAGCACTGCTCAGCAATAACTAAAACATCTCTGTGTCATCGATGCTGTTTTCATGACAAATACAAAGCAGAGCCCCATACTCACTACTGTGAAGAAATTTAACTCTGTCCCAGTCAAAACCAGCACACATACTGGAACAGCAGTGCTACCTTACAGTTGTGTAAGAAGGCCAGGAATTGAGAGGATTTATAGGCGTTAGATGCTTGAGGTTTTTCGGAAATCACTGCTCGATTGCATTATTTTTAAGACACTGTCAGTTGAAATTCATAAAAATTTGGGTAGTTCCTTACTAGAACATGGTGTCATATGAAGTAAAAGGTACAGGAGACATTTTGTTGTTCTGCTATAAAGTGAAACAATATTACAGGTAGAACTGGTTTTGACACACCCACAGTGTGTCAAAACTTTATATTAGCTTTATATTTCAGTGAGCATATTGAAATGCTGATTTATACATAACTTTTCCCTTGTACTTTTTACAGTAGCAATTCTGAAAGTATAAAATGCAAAACTTCCATATTCTGCCTTTTGCTTTGTATGCAGTTTACTCTTAAGGGAGACCGTATTAGAGTATGTGTGTATGTTGGATATATAGTTATGAAGCCAAGTTTGTATTTCAGGTACTAAATAATACATAATAAATGGGTACAGTATCCCTTGTATTTTCAGCAGGTCTGAAAAAAAAGCAGCATGGACATTTGTTTGAAGTTTTGTGATTATAAAAACGTATTCTTCTAGTCGAATTCATGATTGAAAATGTATTATACATTTTACATTTCAGGTTCCTTATTGGTTCGAAGACTGATGCTGAAAGGTAAATTAATACAGTATGTACAACCATTTGGCTTGATGCCAAATGATGAATTTTGTTCCTTTTAGCCTTTATGACTGCTAATGTTGTGGTTATGGATACAGATGCAGAACAGATGAGGAAAAAAGGAGGAATTAATCATCAAAACAAGAAGGATACAGTGTGTGGTTTCTATATTTAACAAGCAAGGAGGAATAGCAGAAAGCAGATATGTGAATACAGCTTGTCCCACTACCTAAATTGCAAGCATGTTGTTACAGTTATTTGCACAATTATTCTTGATTACATAGGCAGTAATAAAGTTCTGAGAGCACTTAGGAGAGATTTCATTTTGACTTTTTATGATAAATCATCAGTCATGGAAATTGTTAATTTGAACTTTATTTTTTTGTGTTGTGCATTACTTGATTCAGCTTTCTTAGACAAGCAAGTAACAAAAGAGGTTTTTTAGTATATGTTAGTTGTAGAATGATTATGATCAGCAGTTCTGGGATAAGTGAGGCAGCAAAATGAGTATTTCTTCAAATGTCTGTCAGTGTGCATTGCACTAGATACCTGTTTGTTTGTGCATATGAGCACAGAACCTTTAAAAAGCAATCTCTGTCAAAGCCAGTTGTGGTTTTGTGCCTCACAGGAGACGTTGAGGTGATGCTCAATTACACACCCCATACCCCACCCACCCCTTTCCCCCCCATTATGTGTTATGTGCTTGGCAGGAAGATGAGTCCTTGATTTGGTCAAAAATCAATAATTATGTTATTTCTTTTAATAGATAATTTTGATCAAGAAATTGTTTGCTTATATTCTCTCCTGCCTCCATTGTGCTGATAGAGACTTTTGCAGTCTGTGCTGTAAGCTGAACTGGGAGATTGGTTAGCTAAAAACTAAAATAACAGTAATTCAGGGATCTAGTTTTAACTGGGTTTGTTTTCCTGATCATGTTTGCCACTGGGTTGCACAAATCCTTTAATAAGTAGTTAGGTTTCAGGAACCAGGACAAGAAGAAGCCATAGAGGGGGGCAGGACCACCTTTTTGAGTACACAGCATTTTATTAATCCCATTCCTCTGTAATTTTAAGGCAGTCTAAAACCTAATTGCTGAAAAAAATACCCTGCACCCTTTCCTCTGCTGTGTAGCTTAGGCCCCTTGCTTATGTCTGCATTAGTCACGCAGCAGCATGTTGAATCAGTTCTATACCAAAATAAAGTGTACTTCATAGCATTTAGGTGTAACCCAATGGAGATATTCCAGCATTTTTTCATTGAGGTTCAGTGTGACAGAGTGTGAGTGACAACAGATCTTCAGCTTCATTTTCAAGTATGCAGGGTCACTTTGTATATTCTGTTCATGTTTGTGAAACAATATTTCCTCAACTTAGTTCCGTCAAATTAGTAAAGATGTAGATAGAATGATTTGGTAGAACAGTATTTTAAACTTGTTTGCCTGATGCTATTGATGCTTTAAATTCCTGGATACGCCACTGCTTTTTAGTCTCACAGAATAAGACCTGTCTGTCCTGGTGCTCAGAAGAGTAGTCACATCACTTTTGATGTGATAACTGATTCTTGCATGTACGTTTAGGATGGACCTCTTAGTTCACCCCTTGCTTTCAGAGTCCTCATCTGACATAGACCACAAGTTAGAGGAAATTGACTGTTCTAAGCAAGCATAAGCAGAGGACACAGCTTTATAAAAGATTCTGGACCCATGTGAAGGGAATGGGATCCCCATTGACTAACATCCCAAAGAACTGCAGTTGCTTTTGGGCAGGGAACTGTTCTCTCTACTGTTTTGCATATTCCTCCAAAATAGTGTTTTTCAAACAAACTGTGTTTTGCGTTAGAAAAAAAGACAGTGGTTAAAAGAAAAGTTCAAATGGAATAAACTCAAGAAAAGAGCCTAGGAACATAAAATAGAAAGTTATAAAGAGATATAGATAAGTTTTATGTATGTGCATCTCTATGCAAGTATATATCTATATAAAATAATATATACTTATATATAAAATAAATAATATATTACTATGTAACATATACAATTATGTGTTTACATGTATGTATCTACTTTAGAAGTTCAAAGTTGTTAATCTTTTTATGCATACGTTCTTTGTTTCAGAGTGGTGAACCAGTATCAGGAGTTAGTGCAAAATGAAGCTAAATGTCCTGTGAAAATGTTTCATAATTCAGGTGGATCAGTCAATCTTAGTCATCTTTCTCCAGGGAAGGAAATGGAAGTGAGTTTATCAAGCCATACATTTATTTGTACATGATTATTGCATTATCAGAATAATTTTTGCTATCCACATTTAGAAGTAAAATAACCTTAAAATTTAATTCTGAATGAATTTTTAAATGCTTTATTTTCATAATCTTTCAGAAATGAAGACTTTAAAAACAAACAAATCCAAACAAAAGAACCCTCTGAAAAAACCAGTACCAAATCCTTTTTATGCACACATCCAGTAGAAACGCCTGCATTCCCAGATTCCCATGCCTGTTGGCATTGCCTTGTGTTTTACTTGCTGCTTCTGGCTTTCTTCCTCAGATTCAGTACTCTAGTGGTGAACTGTATTTAGGCTACAAGTAGGAAATGAATTTTGTATCTTTTGAACTGTTTCCTTTGCTACATCTTTCCCCTAAGTACCTACTTTTAAACTGCAACAATGCTGGTTGCAGAAAGGAGTATGAGTTTTTCTGTATGTGTTTATATATATACAGACATGTGCATGCATGTATGTATGAGTATTTATATATAT